CCCCAAAACCCCAAAACCCCAAAACCCCAAAACCCCTAATTAAGAAATAATAAAAATAAAGTAACATGGTATTTATTAAATGAAATTATATGAGTGATACCAATTTTCTATTAATTATAAATTAATTCCATGCATATCTTTTCCTCTCAGTTTTAACAAATCATTAAATGAGAAAGTTTAAACTTCTTATTTTAGCGATCTCATTAGAAGATCTTTTTTCTTTTGATAAATGCCTGAAACTTTGGTTTGCAAAGACTCTAAGAAGGAGATAAGTTAATTTCAGAATCATAATCTTCATCTGTTGATGACGTCTCACTCTATGGTAGCTTTGGAGATACGATCTTAACCTTGTCATTTTTATGCAATTTGAATGAGTTCTGATTTTGAATGATAATCATTTTCTTTGTTTGAGTTTTTTAGGGTGTCAAATGCATTGCTCGTATCTGAAGGTCGTTTCTCAAATCAGAAAAAGTGAGCTATGGCTCTTCTATATATTATTGTCCTCGATAGCTCTTGTCAATTAATGTTTCAGCAGAATGGTCCATGGAAACATTTGAATAATTGTTTTTTAAGAAAAGCACTCTCATCTTTTTTATTCTTTGTGAATAATCTTATATATCAACGTTAGATTTCTGTCTTGATCTATTAGACTTGAACTCTGATTTAGTAAAATCTCCAAGTATTTAAGAAATAGGGAATTTGTTGGAAAATCGATTAACACTTAAACCACGAGATTCAAGTGCGTAATTGAGTAGAGTACTTTTGGAATCAATTTAGTTTTTAATTTTAATATTTTACGAGGTTGAATTTTATACTTCAAATATTTGCTTTTATACTTTTTGAGCCTCACTTTACATGTGCAGTTTTCTATGATTGAGCTTCCTGAAATTTACAAGCTTCATTCGTAAATCTTTAACTATTGTATTATTAGAGATGCTTTCAAGTGAAGAAGTATTTTAGAGATCTTGATTTTTCAATGATTAAACGCTTTGTTCTTATTCTAATACTTACTAACTTTATTCACTATCATAATTGTTTCTGATAGCGTTTATTTTCGGTAATGTGCCACTTAAATCCTAATTCTAGTAATGGATATATTCTAAGCTACTGCTAATTGTTATTGGAGATGTATCTTGTCTGATAAAACTCGCTTTAGATTCATTCATATTCAATTTAGCTAGCTATTATTGTTTGAGACCTTTTGCGTGAAGATGAGCCTATCTAATAGTTTTATTTTATGTAGCTTTCATCACATACCAGGTACTTAACAATTAAGAAGGTAACACTCCTCTTTTACTCTCATCCACCAAATTTTCTTTAGATTTCTATCTGATTTGAAAGTTATTAGATTTCTAAATTGGTAGCCCCATATTTTGCACCTATGTATTCAAGGACATATACTCTTTAATAGGTAACTATTGGACAATATTAATCACTGACTATTCCTTTTGTTCTCTGCTTTATAATTCTTTAATCTTATTAGAATAAAGTTTTAAAGTTGATTTATATCTTTGCAATACTGTTTTATTTTATGTTTATGATGATTCTCTCTGAGGACTGGTTTTTGAATTTTATTCTTCAAGATCTTGTTCTTATATCTTTATGTAGTCTTCAAACTGCATTTGTTGCGTACGGAGTTTGACTAAGTATTAAATATTTTTAAATTATATCAATAATTGTTCAAAAATATAAAATTCTATTTATATAATTTTTTACCTACAACTATCTCAAAATAGATCATTTGGGGTTTTGGGGTTTTGGGG